AGCTGACTACAAAGGGTTTAAAGGAAAACAGAATTCAGAAGCAAAGGGAAGACAGAGTGGAGTGAACCGTGAGGCAGAGGCTCTCACAAACGTGTCGACTGTTTCCCCCAGCTTTACACTTGAACAATACGAACGCTTGCTGGAGCTTCTGAAGAAAGACTCTGCGTCAAGTGCACATGCTCTCAGCGGTACAGGTTTGCCCATTCTTGTCTCCTCTGATATAAATCATAGTAAATGGGTTTTAGATTCAGGAGCTACCACTCACATGGTTAGTGATTTAATGTTACTAGATAATTACAGAGTTTATAATGGACCAATTAAAAACATAAAAATCCCGAATGGAGATAGGTTTTCTGTGACCCACATAGGTGATATTAAGTTTCCTAATGGTATTGAATTAAAAGATGTCCTATATGCTGCTGAGCTCCAATTCAATTTGATTTTTGTATCCAGAATTACCAAATAATTGTTCTGTGTTGTGTCCTTTTACCCTGATAAATGCATGTTGCAGGACCTTCAGGATGGCAGGATGAGGGGGATTGGTAGAGTAGTACATGGACTATATTTGTTGGAATTAGAGAGAGATTATGTTTGTGACTAGTGATTTGTGCTGTTCTACTACACATGCTGATCTGTGGCTTTTACATAAGCGATTGGGACATGCTCCTGTGAATGTAATGAGACATTTAGATATTGTCAAAGATAAATCAATGCATTTGAATAAAGGATGTGATATTTGTTTTCAGTCCAAACAAACTAAACTGCCTTTCCCTTCCAGTTGTATTAAAACTGATAAATGTTTTGATTTATTACACATGGATGTGTGGGGGCCTTATAGAGTGCCCACACATTCAGGTTTTCAGTATTTTCTCACTGTGGTAGATGATTTCTCAAGGGCTACGTGGACATTTTTAATGAAGCAGAAATCAGAAACTATGTATCATGTTAAAGGCTTTCTTGCTTACATTTTGAATCATTTTGGTGTTTCAGTCAAGAGGGTAAGGGGTGACAATGGAACTGAATTTGTTAATTTTGAATTAAGAGATTTCTTTAGGGAAAAGGGAATCCTACATGAAACTACTTGCCCTTATACACCTGAACAGAACGGTATTGTGGAAAGAAAGCATAGAACACTGATGCAAGTTTCTAGAGGATTAATAATACAGTCTGGTATTCCAATTCAATATTGGGGGGAGTGTGTGAAAATGGCCACCTATCTTATTAATAGAACTCCTAGTAGAGTCTTGCGTTTTCAAACCCCATATGAAATAGTTTATGGACATCAACCTGATTATGAGAACTTGAGAATTTTTGGCTGTTTGGGATATGCTAGTGATCTTATTAACAGAGATAAACTGCAACCCAGATCTATACCCTGCGTTTTCTTAGGCTATCCTGATAATAAAAAGGGTTTTACCTTATTAAGTCTTAAGGACAATAGTATTTTTGTTAGTAGACATGTGAGGTTTCTTGAGGATGTCTTTCCTTTTAAAAATAAGAGTGGATGTGATCAAGGGGGAGTATCTGCAGATTTCAAACAAATGTTTTATTTTGATGACCATAGTGATACTTCTCTACAGATTCCACAGATTGTGAGGGAACCTCACCAAGAAGAGCGTCACAGTGTTGAAAACACTAATAGACTAAACACAAATGATCAGGCTTTAGGAAATGAAAATAGAGATTCAGCAAAGTTTAGCAAGCGTTCTATTAGGGAAAGGAGGCCACCTATTTGGGCTAAAGACTATGTTTGTAATTTGACTCAGTCAAAATTCACAAATAAGAAATCTGATTGCAAATATCCCATTGAAAATTATATATCCTATGATAATATTTCTCCATCATACATGTGTTATCTTTGTTCCATTGATGCTGTTATTGAGCCAACTACTTATGATGATGCTGTAATTGACAATAACTGGGTTAATGCCATGAAATCTGAAATTGATGCATTGGAAGAAAATAAGACTTGGGACATAGTTCCTTTACCTAAAGGTAAGAAGCCAATTGGTTGTAAATGGGTTTATAAAGTGAAATATAAACCTGATGGAACTAGTGACAAATATAAGGCTAGATTGGTTGCTAAGGGATATAATCAAACCGAAGGAGTAGATTATAATGAGACTTTTTCACCAGTGGTAAAGATGGTCACTGTCAGAATTATTTTAAAACTAGTTGCGGTAAACAATTGGTCCTTGTATCAAATGGATGTAAATAACGCTTTCTTGTAGGGAGATTTAGATGAAGAGGTTTACATGACCATACCCCAAGGTTTTAAGAACCAAGGGGGAGATGTGGTGTGCAAATTGAGAAAATCCTTGTATGGGCTTAAACAAGCCTCAAGACAGTGGAACCAAAAGTTATCACTGTCCTTGCTTAATGGGGGTTTTCTGTAGAGTAAGTATGATTACTCTTTGTATATGAAACATTATGATGATGGTTTTGTGATCATTTTAGTATATGTGGATGATTTATTAATCACTGGAAATTCTGAACAAAGAATTAATCAAGTTAAAGAGTTTTTACATGGTCACTTCAGAATTAAGGATCTAGGTGTTATGAAATACTTCTTGGGCATTGAGGTAGCAAGGTCCAAGAAGGGAATTTTGCTGTCACAACGGAAATATATACTGGACCTCCTTGCTGAAACAGGAATGAGTGGTTGTAAGCCACTCACTTTGCCCATGCCACAACATTTAAAGTTAGTAGCCTATGAAGAAGGGAGGCATCAAAAAGAAGATTTGCTCAGTGAGCCAGGGAAGTATAGGAGGCTGATTGGTAAATTGATTTACTTGACAATGACAAGACCTGATATTTCTTTTCCTGTGCAGGTCTTGAGTCAGTTCATGCAGCAGCCAATGAAATCACACTGGGCAGCAGCTGTGGGAGTCCTAAGATATCTCAAACAGTCACCAGGACTTGGGATTAAGCTGAGTTCAACACGGGACCTGAACTTGAGATGCTTCTGTGATTCAGATTGGGGATTGTGCGAGACCACGCGTAGGTCGGTCACTGGTTATCTTCTCAAGTTAGGAGACACTCTCATAGTTTGGAAAACCAAGAAGCAAGCAACAGTCTCAAGGTCCTCGGCTGAAGCTGAGTATAGGGCTCTTGGTTCAGTTGTGTCAGAAGTTGTTTGGGTTAGAGGTTTGTTATCTGATTTGAGGATTCCTTTAGAAGGTCCAGTTGATGTATATTGTGACAGCCAATCGGCCATCCATATTGCCACAAATCCAGTGTTCCACGAGAGAACAAAACATATAGAGATCGATTGCCATTTTATTCGTGAGAAAGTGACAGAAGGAATTGTAAAGCTTCAGCATGTTTGTTCTGCTGATCAGGAAGCAAACATATTAACAAAGCCAGTAGGAAAAGAGACTCAATTATGGTTGCTTAGCAAGTTAGGAGCTTCCAATGTTTACAGCCCCAAACTTGAGGGGGAGTATTGAATTGTTATAGTGTTTGGTTTGTTTCGGTTTGGGCCTAGGAGCTAATTAGTTGAGCCCATTTGGTGTTTAGGTCTATATATATGGACAAGGCCTGTTGGTGTATTATGATTTTTCTCAATGAATAAGAGTACAATTCAGTATGCTGCGTGTAACTCTGATAGCTAACACCTGGATTGTCCTGTCTCTTTTTTTTCCCCTCACAATGAGAAACCTATGATGTTATTTGAAACAAGAGTTATTGAAATTTTTCAAGACGATGGAGGATGGAAGTCGTACAGCAAGAGATTCCAAGTGCTTGGCAAATGGCAAGTAGTCTTATTCTAGGCAATAACAAACAACACATATATTTAGTTGTTGTTTCAAAACTTTTAAGATAACAAAATAATCAACAAAGAGATTTGAATGAAAAGCTAAATGAGAAGACCAAACCCTCAATAGCTGAAAACAAGAGAGTCGAGAGACGAAGGACGCAGCCAAGAAGGAAGAACTTGACAAGAGAAGAGAACGGAACGGCGCTGACAGAAGGGAGAATGAAGCACACCGATTGATAATGCAGAAGAACTTCTGATTTCAAGACGCGAATGTTGCAGAGAATGTTTTCCTTTCCATCGCGTTTAAATCCCCAATCCGTGCCTTCCTTTTTGATAGAATTTTCATGGGCAAAATAGATATTTTAGTTTCAAACTTAAATTCATTTAGGGGTAAGGGAACTCAAAAACAAATTTCAGAATCTTTTGAGACTTATTAGAAATTAAGTCCACTTTGTGGGACTTGGCTGACATTTTCCCTTGTTATTAGGCCGATCTTCAAGAATATCTTCCTCTTTTGGTATTGCACCCTTTAGAAGATTCGTTTGCTATATCACAATGTACTAAATTAATGCTCATCCTCCAACTAGTCAAATTCAACTTAGTTGTTTTATCCCGTGAAATTCAGCTTCAATAGTTCTAATCTAGCTCAAGTTGTCAACTTTAACCCCAATAACTTGGTCTTTGTTTTAACTATTTAAAGTAGCCTCTAAATTTAATAAAATATATAATTTTATTTTTTTAAAATATAATAACTAATATTTTGAATGGTTCAATTATAGGGATTGAATTGTATCATTTCAAAAAGTTTAGAAATTAATTGAGCCTTTAAAGTTTAAAAATTAAATTACAATTGAGTGAAAAATATGAGGATAAAAAATTAATTTTCCCTAAATTTATTTAGTTATTTTTACATAGCAGAAGGAATAAATGTAATTAGTTTATATGCAATTGCTATTACACACAATTTTAATTAATATACAAATTTATTTTGAAAATTTTCATTTAAGAATACTGAGTTTTTTTCAAGTATAAATTTTCTCAAAAATTTTAAAATCATAAAAATATTTTTCTATTACATCAATGTTAATATTTTAACGGTGTAATGTTTTTTGTTTAATAATAAAGATAATACTCATCGAAAGAAATAATAAGGATAATATTGCTAAACAAATTTGGAACCTAACCTTGAAATTTACAAGGCACAGATTTTCACTCTCGGTTTCCTTGCGTTCCTGGAGGAAGAAATTTCAGTCGCTCTCACGTCTGAGATCTCTATCTCCTTCGTTCTTCAATTCCATCGCTCCTCTCCGACGTTTGCCGGTCTCCTTGCCGTTGCCGCTGTCTTTGTTAGGGACTATCGCCATCATTTTCGTCTGCACTAGATCTCGGGTTGCTGCGTCTTTTCCTCCTCTGTTCGACGTTCAAATCCTCTCTTCTCATCAGCCGACGTTGTGATGGTTGTAAGCTTCCCTGGATTTGCTTTGTTTTCTTCTTCCCTTCGATGCTGCAAATGTAGTTTTGGAATTTCTCTGTCGCATAGCTCCCTAAAATGTTGACCTTGCATCACCTGTGCATTTGAGCATGCTTCTTTCGGGTGCGTTTGATCACTCTTTCCGTTTTCAAATCATAAATTACGATGAATAGTTTCTCATTTGGATCTGGAAGTCCGAAGCCCTACCAAAAAAGCGATTTTGACTTGGAATCCGGAAAACCCATAAAACGATACCGAAAGTCGAAAACCTCACATCTTCATCCCATCAGAATGATCAAATCATTTGGAAGTCGCCTTCATCACTATTTCAAGTTGCACCCATTTATGTGCTTCTTCATCTCGTTATCTTTTGGGATCACAATTCTTCTGATCCTTTCTGTATACGAAAGCCATTACAGAACAGTGAATAATTACAGTAAATTGGATCTGGTTTCGGACGATTATCCATTCCCGAAGCTTCAAAATCTTATAATGGTTGCGGGCCATTCTATTTATACAAGCAGTAGTTGTGGGAAGATTGAGAAGGAGGAATCTTGGTATTTGGAACCTTATCAGAAAATCGCTGGTCAAGCTGCCACTTTTGTGACGCACATACAAGAGGGGATTGACATCACAGCCAAAGATGACTTAGCTTTGCTCTTGTTCAGTGGAGGAGAGACTCGTAAAGATGCTGGTCCTCGCAGTGAGGCACAGAGTTATTGGGCTGTCGCTGATTCCAAAGGGTGGTTTGGTAAATCAGAAAGTGTGAAGTGGAGAGCACTTACAGAGGAGCATGCCCGTGACAGTTTTGAAAACCTCCTATTTAGTATTTGCCGATTTCGGGAGCTCACTGGCTCATATCCCAAGAATATAACTGTTGTGAGTTATGATTTCAAGCGAGAGAGATTTGCAAACCTACATCGATCTGCAATTGGGTTCCCAGACTCAAGCTTCTTCTATGCAGGCACTTCAGCTGCATCGAATGCAAAAGCGGCTGCTCTGAAAGGGGAGGCATTGGTGAGAGCTCAATTCCAGAAAGATCCATTTGGGTGTCAAAGTTCTCTTTATCATAAAAAAATTAGGCGTGATCCCTTTCATCGTTCAATTCCTTACCCTAATGGTTGCCCAGAAATGCAAGCTTTATTCAGATATTGCGGTCCAGCTCCTTATCCTGGCTCTCTCCCGTGGGCGTAGGAGAGTCAGCTCAGTCAAATTATACGGATTGCTTACTGCCAAAATGAGAGATGAGAAGCCAACAGATAGCCAGAATTTTTGTTCACTTGTTTATTTAAATGGTTGGAATCCCTGTTGTGTAAAATGATGAGCCCTGTAAATCAAAGTGTTTTTGCATGTGTTTCTCATAGGCTGAAATATTTCTGCCTGGAATTAACTGTGGAAGTTGAAAGTGCCCTATAAAGTTAGAACTTTCCTGCGGAGATTACTGTCTAATGCTTTGCCAACAATGACTAATTTAAGAAGAAGAAGCTGTGTGGGATCTGATTTATGCCCAATAGGCAAGAATGCGCTTGATGAATCTGATAGCCATTTTTTTCTGTTGTGTCAATTGTCTAACCGAGTCTGGTTTGGAAGTACTCTATTACTCTCTTTTAATGATGCTGATTCAGTGGAATTAAAAGAATAGCTGTTGCGGCTGTTATCTGATGGGAGATTTTCTGCTATCAAATAGCTCTCATGGCTATGACGTTATGGCAGATCGGGAAATCAAGATGTGCAGCATTGCATAAAAATATCCCAACTGACCCTGTTTTTATTATCCCCCAATCGGAATGTCTTTTGCGGGAATCTTGGGAAAGCCAATGGTTGGAGCTTGAGCCCTAAAAATAAATTCGGATGCAGCTTTCTCAAATGATTCGGTGCTGGCAGTAATTGCTTTCGTTCTGAGGGATGCCAATGGATGAAAATTAGATGGTTAGACCAAGATCTGTTAAAGTTGATTCAGCGTTTATGGCAGAGGCAATGGCGTTGTTGGAGGCAATTAATTATACGCAGGAAAATGACTTGGAAGATGTCAAAGTGGAAGCTGATAATAAGAACTTAGTTCTGGGTTTTGATGTAAGATAATTTTACCATTTCACTTCGGTTGTTGGACTGTTTGTTTACTTCATCAATGAATTCTATTTTGTGGGGGGAAAAAGGCAAATTCGAGGGAAAAATAGTCACTGGCTCACTGGCCCAAGGGAGTAAGATCAAAAAATACACAAACACCCACCAAGTTGCATTATCTATAAAATTAAAGTGCTTATTTAATACTCCATGAAACACATGGAAAAATGTATTTTTAGTTCAACAACTGAAATGGCAAAATGGAGTCTTTATTCTAGCAAACAAAAGTCATAAATAGATCAATACATATCGAATCAAGAAGCCCATTTCGTCCGGGGCGTGATAGCTCTCGGGACAGCACATACACTGAATACAAATAACTGTGTGTATGGGCATATTACATATATATTTGTGTATGTGATTAATAACAAACTATGCACACATATATAGATATGATTATTAACTAATAAATAATTAATTAGGAAGCAAGCACTTCTTAAGAGTGGGTTTGGTATGTGAAAAGGTTCCATGAGCATTGTGGCAAAAGGCAGTGGCTTTCTGGCCAGCAACAGCAGAAGACAGATAGACTCTGTCGAAGACGATGTTGGAGCATCCTATGTTCTGGTCGCAGCTCAGCTTGATGGCTTCCTTCGTCAATGATGTTCCCACTATCCCTCTGTACGTAACATCGCTCACTTTTATCGCCTCCGTCTTCATTCAAACAAAACATCAATCAAATCATAACCACACAGACACACAAAAAGCCAGACATTAGTAATCACACAACTATAAGTTCTTCATTACCTCGTTCTTGCAGTCAGTGCTATGTGGGCAATAAAACTGGTCGATGATAATGGGGTTATTGGCACGAACAAATCTGATCCCTTCAAATCTAATCCTTCTTGCATATCCAACTCCACCCTATACATTTTTCAACACAAGAAGGGGCACTTAGTGGTACACTACTATTAGATATAATCTCAAGTACTGTTTTGGAAAGAAGTTGGTTGATTAGTTGTGTGTGTGTGTAATCACTTACCTGCCATGTCTTGATTCTTACTCCGGTCAAAGTCTCTGTTATTGTGCAATTCCTTACAGTTACATCCTCCACATTGTCGATCTCTCCACGTGTTCCCAACGATCCGATGCTGCAAAAAAAAATATTATCATGAGCTTTCCTTCTTCATCACAATTATTGCTTGAGCCCATGTGAACTAGTGTACAGATTGGAAGAATGATGATTCATATATGAAAGAAGAGAGACATTTAGTTAATCGATAGTTCTGGATATAAGATATTATATGCTAATTGTAACAAATAACTAAAAACTAAGCATATATACGAATACAAAATGGATCAAGGAGGTAATTCATTATAACTCACCTTATTCCATGGCCTGGACCACAAGTTATGCCTGATATTCTGATAGCAGAGGACCCCGCACTAATTGCAATGCAGTCATCTCCTGAAAATAACGAAAGACAGAATGCACAATCAATACATTTCACAAATACTCTAAGATATTTTATAACAGAATCGAAGATATTATTAACGAACCTGTGCCAATGAAAGAATCAAGGACTCGGATGTTCTTGCAGCCAGAAATGTCAATGCCATCAGTGTTAGGGCTATCTCCAGGAGCTACTAAACGCAGGTTAGATAATTTGCCTTGCGTGCAGCTTGTTAGGGTTATGTGACTTCTTGCCGGATTTACATGTGTTATTCCTTTCAGTTCAAACCGATTGCATCTGTACAGTGTCAGTGCCTATAACAAACACAAAATTAAACTCTCCTTTAATTACTTGTAATAATGCACAAGTACAGATCTGAATCTCTCTAAAATATTCCTTGCAAATTATTCAAACACCTTTCCTTATTCGGACAGCATTCAATATTTTAATGTCTTAACGTGTTCTATATCTAAGTTTTGACACTTGCAGATTAAGAAATGTTGTTTTTTCTAAGTTTTTTGGTTCACACACATGCAGATGTGTGTGTGTGTGCGCGCGCGCGCATGATCTATGAATGAGCTATATATAGGAGTAGTAGCTTGAGTTGTAAGCAAAGTTCAATTAGTTCAGATGATATCCTTTTCTGGTTGATGAACAAGTGAACGTGCATGGAAAAGATTGTACGTACCGTTGGGGGACGGCATTTCGTGCCCTGATCAAACAAGGAATAATTCATGTGAGACAATTGATGACATAGAATAACAGAGAAATTCATGAGACTCTGTGTGTTTTAACTTACGGGAACTGCTTTTCCCAGGCAAGGGTTATCCCACCACATAGAACCTCGTCCATCGATGGTACCTTTGCCACTGATGCTCAGACCGTCTACGTAGTTGAAGCCGAGCCATGTGTTTATTTGGGATCCACTGTATTCTCCTTTTGTTTTCGGTGCCACTATCTTCCCTGAAAACTGTCGTTTCATTCATTCCAACGACAATAAAAACCACTCAGTAGTATTCACATTAATCTGAGTTGTATATATTTCTTCTTCTGTTAATAAAGCTTCCTTTTTTCTCTTTCTGGGTGTAACTAGTATTATTAAGAGGCTTTATTAGACTAAGAGATTAAACTTTTGGGGGATAATGATGATCAGACGTGTTCACCTGGATGTAGATGTTCTTAGGTTTGCATGGACCCCTGAAGGTAAGAGGTCTGAGTAAGAACGTTTTTGCTGGTATGATGAGATGGGAAGCCTGTGATTTACTCTGGCACACCTCTTTCCAAGCCTTGAGAAATGCCTGTTTGTGAAAAGAGTTTTTTAGCTTTTAGTCTTCAAACACCACTAGTTTTATTAACAGAAAATGCCAATATTATTAAAATGTTGAATTAGCTTGACAAAACATTAAAAACAATGACTGGCACGAACAATCATCATTTGAGACCAAAAGTGTTCGGCATTGATCAAGGACAATACTTTATAAAATTTATCAAATCAAAATGAAACATGCATTTTAGAGGATCAAAGGTGCAGTTTTGCCATAACAATATATTATATTATGTCTGTTTTTGAAATATGCATGTTCTTAATTCTCAAAAATATAATGACTTGAATTAAATTTAAATTACCGGGGAATCGTTGGTAGAACCATCTCCAACTGCTCCATATTGCATCACATTGAAACTACTTGTTGTGCTGCTCAATCCGGGCCTAGCCACGCTTAGAATCATCACCACGCTAAACAATAGTAGCTCCTGCATATAAATAAATGCACACACATGTATATAAGACACATCTGATAAGGTTCTAATTAATCAGCAACAAACGGTAATTAATTATGAATGTATCACATATACATATATATAAAAACAGTTTAAGGGCAGTATATAGAACAGTTCAAGAACAAGAAGTTATCAATATATTCTGACCATCTTAATTAGAGGACGATGGGAGGATTCGAGCCACAGGACTTCAATGTTATGAAACTAGCCCTTTATCTTCTCCCTATATATATAATGGTCGATCTAGAACTGAATAATAAGTCATATCAAGACATGTACGCATGTTAAGTTTGTGAATTTATATTTGTTTAAAGTGTATTATTGACTAAAAGAAATAGTGGTTGCGGAAAGGTTAAGGTGAGTACATGTGTAGCTATGTATAAACACATGGGCATCATGGAAACACAAGGCTTTGTGTTCGCAGAGAGCACATGAAACTAAGTACAAATCCCTAGGTTCAAGTTGTGGTATACGTATCTTTAATTGCTTCTTCTTCATTTACACTCATTCATAATTCATAAATAATTCGCTAAATCTATAGATAAGGGTAAAGTAATATTCAGCATCCTAATGTTATTTTCTAATTGTATTTAATAGTTTAATTTTATTTAAGGTGAATCCAGCACTTTGGTACTCCTCCGGTCCTAATTATAAGACCCAATTGACTTATTTGAGGAGATTAAGGAAGTAAGTTAAGTTGGTTATTTATAATAAATAAGTGTTGTCATTCCTAAAATATCCTTACTAATTAAGTATATTGGCTAAAACTATCATTATTAGAAGGATTATCTTGAAAAAAATACATAAATATAAGAAATAAAATGGATTGGGGTCTTATAATTAGGACCAAATAAAAAGTCAAATGGGGTCTTATAATAAGGACCGGAGGAGTATTATTTTTCTGGTGTTTTCAGTACCTCAATCTTATTTATAGAGTATCCAATACTTTAAACTTTAAGATTTGAGTGTTAGATGTAACTAAAAGATAATATTGAGAGGTATTGAAAGAACCAGAAAAATAATATTATAGTACTAGATGTAACAGGCCATAAATAAAATTAAAGTGCTAGATGCTACGAGAAAATAACATAAGGATGTTAGATGCTACTTTTTTTTATATATACACACACAAATATAGCCCATGATATAATGTATCGAACATCTTCTACGTACTTAATTTGATTTCGAAGCAACCACGTTCAAATAATTCGAATCCCATGATCCACGTATGTAGGAGCACGTTAACACTCAACAATTTGCCTTTTGCTTTTGCTTTTGTATTTTTTTGCTAGAAATTTGCCTTTTCAAGATCCATTTATACTTAAAAGTTGTCAGCCATCTTAATAATCGACATGTACATACTCATGCATATGTAATGAATAGAAATGTTTCAATCTTCAACAGTTCTTGAGGTTGAAAATGTTCAATTATATTGTTCAATTGATTGATTTTTTTTTTCTTGGGGTTTAATGATCTAAAATGTTGAAATGACATTAATTAAACAAAATAAGAAAACGGTAGAAGACTGCTGGAACAAAAGGGGATCAGTTTCTTATTACTTTTTTAGTTTGCTAACGTAATCTTCTAACTCAAAGATTCGATAAGATATAATAATTTGTTGTAACATTTGACTTCATGTCCTCAAATTCCTCATTCTAATCACTTTTTAAATATCTGTTGCATGTTTATAGCGTCTTGAGTTTCAAATTTCTACTTTTACGTCATCTTATACAAGTTGTATAGTTGAATTTAACCTCATACATACATACAAAAATTAGATCGACCAAGTTTTCTGATAAATAGTCCCCGAAAAAGGTTTTCATACGGAATTTGGACTCATGATCTCATGAGCTATGACGAATTCTTATCAACTAGATCAATCTTTATTAACTTTTTTCTCATATTTCAACGCCCACCTAATCTGGAAATTTATCCACTCAACTATAAAATTACAAGTACAGCTCATTAATCTATACTAAAACTATTCAGTTCCTTAATGTGAGCAAAACTTTTAGAAGCTTCTTTACTTAAAAGACTAAAAGAGTATTTTGTTCAACAACTTAAGGTCTAATTACAAATACTCAAAAGAAGCAAGCAATTCATTCACTTGGTACAGAAACCTTTGTAACCCTCTAATTGATCCAGGAACGGCTCCGCGTAAAATGTAAGAGTTGTTAAATTGTGAGGGAGAATAACACAAAAGGACTTTCAGAATCCAAAAATGAAAAACAAAAACAAAAGAAAAATCAGGGAGAAATTAATCTCCGTTTGAAAATTTTATTAGCGAGAATGACTTGATATGTTTTTACATACAAAAAGTACTAGTACTCTGCAAAATTTTATGCACGTAACGTTCTAATAATTAAAATTTTCAAATAATAAGGACTTTTTTCCACGATTTTCTTAGAAAAAAAGATATTGAAGAACCAAGAATTCGTGAAATAACAAATAAAAGGCTAAAATTCAAAAAACAAAATTAATAACTTAGTTGTAAATTAAAAATCTCAGTTTTAAAAATTAAAACATTAATTATAAATTTATCACATAAGGATATTTTTGTCCATTTTCTTTTTCCCCCCAACTTACGGGCTTCTTTTGTCCCTTTTGTAGATTTGTGGACTTTTAACTTAATGTTAACTTTTGGTCCTATGATCCTTCAACGTCATTCTCCCAAATTTACTCACGTCTTTTCATCATCAAATTTTAGCATTACAACATGTGCTTTGATTATTATAATATGTGAATATCTTTACTTGCAATTCAAATTAAACAAATTGATTTTGTGCATAGTAAATCATAATTTCGACCCGAACTAAACAAAATTAAAGACCACCGATCTGACTATAATTAACTTTGCAGGGGGTACATTAATTCTTCAGTCTGTTCGGGTGGCTTCTGGTAATTAAATTAATATCAACCTCAAACTCTGATTGCACCTTAAGTAACTCATGATACTTCAAACATTATATTCTATAATTGAAGCACTCAATTAGGATAAGAATCAATTTCTTCTCTCGTCTTTTAAGTGAAATAAAACTGCGTTGAGAGCGAAGAAAGTATTAGGGTAACTTGGAAAAAAAAGAAGAGGTTTCATCACATCAAATGGAGTTGAGTTGAAGAACCATTTATGCCCCAAAAGGACAAAAAAAAAAAACTCATTTTGTATGCATATTCTCAAAATACTTACAAAAAAGAAGATGCTGAAATCACAATACCTCCTATTCTAGCTAGACGAGTTAAATAAGAGGTTTGCTTTGACCCTAAATATAAAATAACTATTCATTTGTCTCTCAATTTTTTTTTTTTTGCCTCAAAGTGTTACTATTGATTACACATATTATATAGATAGTTGTAATACACATAATTAAAAATGTTATTTTAGCAAAACCAAACATTTGTTAGAAATAATAAACTTAACAAATTTTCTTAGTATTCATAAATTCGTTATGTAGCTGTTGTATTAAGGTTACAGGTGATTATTTCGCTAAAACTATAGCTTCAGCGTCTGGTTAATTAAACTTGCAGGTAAAGGAAATATATTACAGAGGCATAACATGATAATTTGAGAGAAATTAAAGACTTGGTTTATTCGTCTAGATGAAGAAGTTACACACACACACACACACACACATATATATATACAGAGACACATTGGCACGAAATTATAATAAACTAACTTATTAAAGTAAGTTCACTTAAATAATTACCGTTGAAATTATCAAATGTTCTCTTTATTAATTTCTTTATATCAAATAAATATGTTCACGACATACTTGAAAATGTCAAAGCAAAAAGACTTTCTTCAGCTTCTCATGACATAATAATAGCATGAATGAGAGCACATATGGACTCTTTTAAAAACGGAGAGTGCCGTAATGTATAATCCATTTAGATACTAATTTAATTAATACACATGACCTTTTTTTTCTTGTAATCGTTTTTTTTAATAGAAATATGTAATATCGTAAGTATAATGACATATTTATAAGCAGATATGCTTACCTTATTGGGCTATTATTAATTTCCAATGCCCATGCATGTCATATGATAAGAGAACTTCAAACCGCTCATGTGATATTCAATTGCAATATGTAATAATTAAAATTTACTCCAGAAGAATATACTCTTATGATTCTATTTATAAGTCACTTCTAACTTGTTTTATACAGATCAAGAAAAATTTAAATTTTATTAACTCTTGTTTAAAATTTAACAACTTTTCAATTCTATCTCTATTTTATATATATATTATACTCCTTTGGTTCTATTTATAGGGCAGAGAGAAAAAAAATTTTAGTGTTATTTATAAGTCACTTTATCAAATTTTTCTCATGAATGTATCATATTATCCTTTATTTATATAGTTATTGTTCTTGAAAAGAGTATATACTCCTCCTGTCCTTATTATAAGACCTACTTTGACTTTTTATTTGGTCCTAATTATAAGACCCAATCCATTTTGTCTCTTATATTTATGCATTTTTTTCCAAGATAATCCTTCTAATAATGATAGTTTTAGCCAATATACTTAATTAGCAAGGATGTTTTAGGAATGACAACACTTATTTATTATAAATAACCAACTTAACTTACTTCCTTAATCTCCTCAAATAAGTCAATTGGGTCTTATAATTAGGACCGGAGGAGTATTAAATAAGGATAATGTTGAAAATTTGGTATATTGTAATGAAGAGTTAATACAGTTTAATGCTTTCTTTAGTCTGTGTAAAACATGTTAGAAGTGCCTTATAAATAGAACCAGAAGAGTATTATACAAGAACTAAGTCAACATAATATTAAATTAATGGTAAAATTGTATATTCATATGAAAATCTTCTCTCTCTGTCCTATAAATAGAACAAAAAATTTTCTTTTTCTCTCGGCCATATAAATAAGCCAAGAGAAGTACCTATTAGTTAAATTATAAATTAATTGAATGCATGTCGATCGAGGACTAAAAGAAAAAAATAGTTAAATATGAAAATTGGCAAAGCATAGACTTTATTTGAACAACGAAAGTCGTTAATAAACCAATACATCGGTCTTCTCAAAGGAGCACATTCACTCCCAACATGGTGGCTCTTCAGGACAACAATGAAAAGAAAGGAAAGGGCAATATTACACTCAATAAATAGTCTCTCTCTCTCTCTCTCTATATATATATATATGATTAATAATAAACTACTCATATATATAGAGATATAGATAAGATTAACAAACTACTTATATATATGATTAATTAATTAATGTAAATTAATTAGGAAGCAAGCAGTTCTTAAGAGTGGGTTTGGTATGAGAAAAAGTCCCGTGAGCATTGTGGCAAAAGGCAGTGGCTTTCTGTCCAGCAACAGCAGAAGACAGATAGACTCTGTCAAAGACGAGGTTGGAGCATCCTATGTTCTGGTCGCAGTTCAGCTTGATGGCTTCCTTCGTCAATGATGTTCCCACTATCCCTCTGTACGTAACATCGCTCACTCTTACCGCCTTCGTCTTCATTCATTCAGTCATCACCCAAAAACAAAACATTATTATTCATCAATTCATAATCTCACACACACACAAATGCAGACATTAATTAATAATCATACTTTTCTAAGTTCTTAATTAGTTACCTCGTTCTTGCAATCAGTCCTATGTGGGCAATAAAACTGGTCGATGATAATGGGGTTATTGGCACGAACAAATCTGATCCCCTCGAATTTAATCCTCCTTGCATATCCAACTCCACCCTATAAAATTAATAGAAGCCTGTTAACAATTCATCAACAGTATATATTCATTTCATACAAAATGGTCGGACTTAGTAACTCCTTACTGTATTACTAATTTACCTAGATTAACAAAATTAGTTAAATTAGTTATTTGTAAAATTATGGACTAGTTTCTTTGAAATACCCTTTGAATCATTTGTATTGCAAATGGAAACCCCCTTTAGATATTTGCATATAAATTTATGAGATAAAATGGATTGAAAAGATCTCATATTTAGGATCAAAACAAACTTCTCAACAAACTCTTATATTTACTAGCCGGAAGCATCAGATTACATCACAACTGCCATATATGGAATGATAAAGTTGCCTGATTATTGATTAATTATTTGTAACTAATTACCTGCCATGTCTTGATTCTTACTCCGGTTAAAGTCTCTGTTATGGTACAATTCCTTACAGTTACATCCTCCACAATGTCCCTGTCTCCACCTGTTCCCAAGGATCCGATGCTGCAGAAATATCATGTGCTTCAGTTCTCTTCATTACAAAGAAATTGTATGCCTATCTTCCTAATATATTGTTTCCGCATCCATTCCCTCCATATAATTTAACAAAATCCAAGGTTTCCACCTTCTAATAATGAGAAGTTAACCACTCTAGGAAAGTGCATACAATTATCCAGCTTAATTACTTTAACTTTTGAGGCAATATACTAATAACAGATTTAACTAACTAACCTTATACCGTGGCCTGGACCGCAAGTTATGCCTGATATATGCACACGGGAGGAACCCCCACTTATTGCAATGCAGTCATCACCTGAAATAACCAATTAAGGCCAATGCAGAATCAGTACCTTTAACTGTGAGAAATTTTAAGCTTAGAACTAGCTATAGAACAAAACAAAAACTATGGCAGAAAATGGAAGAGTATATATGTATATATGTATTTACAGAATCTGCAAAGATGTAATTAATTATATTAACCTGTGCCAATGAAAGAATCAAGAACTTGGATGCTCTTGCAGCCAGAAATATCAATGCCGTCTGTGTTAGGGCTATCTCCAGGAGCTATCATACGGATGTTAGATATTTTGCCATACTTGCAGCTTGTGAGGGTTATGTGACTTCTTGCTGGATTCACATGTGTTATTCCTTTCAGTGCGAACCGATTGCATCTGTACAGTGTCAATGCCTATACACCACAAGATTCAACTCTCTCATTTAATTACTTCTTTCATTAACTAATAAATAATTATACTCACTTTCAGATCTGAATCTCTCTAACATATTCTTCCTTGCAAATTCAAACACCTCTACTCAATTAGACATACAGCACTCAGTTTATTGTTTGACTAATTGGCTGTAATATTGTTATGTCCTAAACGTGTCATATATATATATATATATATATATATATATCTCTTAGTTCTGACATTAGTATAGATTAAGAAATGTTCTTTTTCTGAGTTGATCGAATGAACAGTAGTAGTATTAGAGTAACTTGAGCTGTGATCAAAATTCAATTAAAATTCAGATGACTTCTTCTTCTTCTTCTTCATGAACAAAGTATGGGAAAGTTTATACGTTTACGTACGGTTGGTGGACGGCATGACGTGCCCTGATCAAACACGAAATGATTCATCAGAAAATGATGGGAGAACAAGAGAGATCAAATTCGTGAGCAAATTAAAGTGCTGTGTGTATGGTGGGTGTACTTACGGGAACTGCTTTTCCAAGGCAAGGGTTATCCCACCAGATAGAACCTCGTCCATCGATTGTGCCTTTTCCACTTATGATCAGACCTTCTACGTAGTTGAAGCCAAGCCATGTGTTTAATTGGGATCCACTGTATCCTCCTTTTGTTTTTGGTGCCACTATCTTCCCTGAAAGCTGTCCTCATTCCAACGTACACCGCATATCAGTACTCCCTCGTTATTTTCATCTATCTCTTTTCTGGTAATTTATAATTAAATACAGGTCTATACAATGAAAGTTGTTAATTAAGAGGCTCTAGATTCATTAAGAGATTACATTTTAAGGGAGATGAAGTTAAAAATTATATATATATAGCCACACACACACACACACACACACACACCTGAATGTATATGTACTGAGATTTGCAAGGACCCTTGAAAATAACTGGTTTGAGTAAGAAGGTTCTTGCTGGTACGATGAGACGTGAAATCTGCGAGTTACTCTGGCAGACGTCTTTCCAAGCCTTCACAAATGCCTGTGTTTGTATTCAATGATGAAACACTTTAATTTGGTAGAAATCAATTAGGAAACAATTAAAACAAAAGCTAGACAGCGATATACTCATATACATTGTGTCTGTTTTGGAAACATGATGTTAATTTTCAGAATATAAAGACTAGCTGGAATTAGAATTAATTACTGGGGCATCATCTGTAGAACCATCTCCAACTGCTCCATATTTCATCACATTGAAATTACTTATAATTAGATCGCCGTTCGATCCAGGCGTAGCCACACTTAGAATCAAGATCACCACACTAATAAACAATAATCTCTCCTGCATGCATGCATAAAGGAAAAAAAATCTCATTATATATATATATTCTAATTCATCAAGAACAAATAGTAATTAAGATGAATGTACCATATAAACAGCCTAGTTAAGCATTGTATATAGAAAAACTCAAGAAGACAAGAAGAAGAAGAAGAGACCCTGACCATCTTAGAAGACACTGTAGATATTTCGTTCGAGCCACTGGACTTCACAATGTGATGGCACCCTCTAGAACTGCACATATAATATATAACTCGCACCAAGCGAATTATATATATATAATATTGTAAATATTTGTTTAGAATGTTATTAAAAGGAGATATATATGAATTAAGTGGAAGGTTGCGGAAAGGTTAAGGTGAATGCAGGTGTGGGTGTACGTAAACACATGGGCATAAGGAAACAGAAGGCTTCGTGTTCGCTGAGAGCCACATGAAACATGTACAAATCCCAAGGTCGTCCAACTTGTACGTACCTTAATTTAGTTGCTTCTTCCTTCACTTACACTCAATGATAAGCTTACCTTAATATAAGTCCCATGATCCAACGTACGTAATGAACATCTTGTCCGTACTTATTTGACTTCAAAGCAAGCAAACCACGCGTTTCTTCGAATCTCATGATCCATTATGTATATATATAGGAGCAACTTAACACTAAAGAATTGCCTTTAATTTTTCTTGTTCAAGATCCATTTCTACATATATCCTTCCTCTAGCTAGCTAGTCGTCAATCATCGTAATGCTTAATATATATAGTCATCACACACAAAAAGATGTGTATTTCTGTATATAATGGTTTCATTAATGTTCGATTGTTCAATTGAGAGTCATTTTTGTGTATCATGCAGTATAATCTAAATGTTGCAATTATATATTAGAAATTAAAAAAGAAAAAGAGGTGGAAAAATGGAACAAGGTTCCAAACGTAATTTCTAATTAGCTCTAAGATTCTACAAGATATAATGAATTATTTTACTAACATCTGTTGACTTCCAAAGTGCTCATTTTTAAACATTTCTCAATATTTTTTTTTCTATTGTGTCTTTCCGTTTCAAAATGTCCACTTTTACGCATCATAGGTGATATATGCTCCCTGATTTCAAAATGTCTACCACTTCGGAATTTTTTGATTTTTTTTAAAAATATTTGTTGCTTTGAAATTTCAATTTAGCATTTATTAGTTTTTATTTCACATTTTTATTTATTTCTTTGAATTTAACGGAGAAATAGAGTATATAAGATTGTACTGCTTTATGAATTGTAGTGAGAGTAACAATAATATTATATTAAAACACTATTAAATATTACTATAATTTAAGTTATTAAATTATTTTTTTATCTGAGGAACAATTTGAAATAGAGAGTATTTAGATATGTGTGTGCATATTTGTAATTACATGTCACTAGAAAAATTGGACTACTTTAATTTAATCAATACTTTAGTTCCCCTAACTACGTACTTAGCTGTTCAACTTGAATTATAAGAAAGCCCTACGAATCCAGCTCAATATATGCAACTTGGGCTATTTAAAATATTCAGTTCCTTAATTCGAACACTACATACATTTTGCAGGTTTCAATATTAATTCTCCGTTTTGTACTAATATTATATCTATGTAAAACTAAAGAGTGGACTTGATTTTAATCCAACATTAAAAAACTGGGGACTTCAAAAAGCAATTTTTTTACAGCAACAATATTTTGTTTAAACAAATTAAAGACTCAGCAATATGCAAGCAATTGGCTCGATTGGTATAGAACCTCTGTAACCATCTAAGTAATCCAGGAACTCAGTTTAACTCTGTAGAAAATGTAAGAGATGTTAAATTGGGTATAGAACCTCTGTAACCATCTCAAAGTCTTTTCTGCATTTAATTTAATCTTTAAGAGATGTGTTTTGAAGTATTACAAGTGGTTACTTGGTACTAAACAAGAGGTTGGGGCTTTTCTTTTTATTTTGGGAGGGGGGGAGTATATGTATATACCTTCACTCGGAGTTCTAAATACACTGCCTTACCTTGTGTATTAATTAATATGGTCCTTAATTTAAGATCTAGTTGAGAGTTAGATTTAATCTTAGAGTTAGATTTAATCTTAAATATAAGATATCTATTTACTTTATCTCCTAAATTTATATTCCCTCTGTTTCTTATTATAAGAAACAACTACTAAAATCATGCAATTCAAAATGTTAGTTAAATTAAATTGAAAATGATAACATTTTTTTAATTATATTCTTATTTGTAAAAGAGTATGAGAGACATAATGAGTAAAATTTTATTAGAGAGAGATAATTATTATTTATTTAATGGGGTAAAAATGAAAAAAAAAACCAGTTTAAAAATTCATACGAGAATGATTTATTTATTATATTTAAGGGCATCATTATGAGATAGATTGTTTTTTATAAAAGGACGGAGAGAGTACTGTTTTTCTCAAAATATTCTTATTGATTAATTGTAAAAAATTTTGAGCAAGAGATAATAACAATACACATGATTAAATAAGGTAGTTTGAAGAAGTCAACACACATTTATTATAAATAAATAACAAATTTAACTGATTTTCTTAAAATTCCCAGATTAGTTATCTGTGGAGGTAGTTTTAATAATCATAAATAAGATATACTATTTCCGGTCATTTATATAGGAGCTAATTAATTAATTTAGGTAGATTAAGAAAATTAGTTAAGTTAGTTATTTTAATCAATATGTATTGTTTTTCCTAAAATATTTTTCCTAATCATGCATATTAGCTAAAGTTATCATTTGATGAAACATTTTATTATGTGCAACTACTACAAAGAATGTTTTGAGAAAAATAAATAAATATGAGAGACAAAATGGATTAAAATATTATATTAAAGACCAAATTAAATACTAAACTAATTTTTATATTAAGGAATGGAGACACTGTACCGTTAAGTTAGATCCGAAGTAAGCGAATACCATCGATCTAGTTACTGTAAATGGAAGTGTCAGTCTGTTCAGGCAGCTTCTTATAATTAATATCAACCTCAAATCAATCCTCTCATTCGTCTCTGTCTAAAAGACATGAAACAAAAGGAATAGTTTTGCATCAGTTTATGATACGAAGGTGACGTGTCATGTGGTGAACGAATGGCAGATTGAAGCATCACACACTCTCTGATTGGTTGGCAAATTATGCTGAAGTGTTGATAAATGTTATTGTTAATACTACCTCCTGGTCTTAATATAAAAACTAATTAACTAATTTAAGTAGATTAAGAAAATTAGTTATGTTAGTTATTTGTAATAAGTAGATGTTGTTTTTTCAAAAATATTTTTACTAATCAAGTATATTAATTAAAACTATTATTATTATAAGGACTACCTTAAAAATAAATAAATAAATATGAGAGATAAAGTGAATTGAGATATTATATTTAATATCAAAATAAGAATTAGATGAGCTCTTATATTAAGAATCAAAGGTAGTACCTTCATTTACAATGGTTGGTCAAACTTTGATAAATAATAACTCATCATTATCCTCATTGCAGCCCTTAAGACTTCTGATTAACACAGATTTAGTGTGCTTATAATAAGGTTACGTACTTCAGTCCAAGTAAGCTGAGTTTGTATATAAGTACGTGACACGCTTGTTCCTTCTTATGCATGGTCTTTTTCTTTCTGATAGACGCATATAGATCAGATTTCACTGTAAGCCAGCCTTAAATATATGTAATTAACACAGAGCTTGTTCCTCTAAAGTTGAAGCATACATAATAATAATCATGTTGCGTTAAAACTTGAGAGTTCCACTAAGCAGTTGCAGAGGAAGGTGAAGAACTCTGACATAAATTAAAGCCATACCAAGCTTGATTGGGAATAAAAGTATTGAAATAAAAAGTGACAGATTTAGAGTGAGCGCCAGATATTGTTACTTTGCGTGGCTTCCAACCATCACTACCACTCCTGTACAAGTACAGATAGCATATCTGGGAGGTACATGGCCCTGTAATCCCAATCCAATCTGAAGTACAACGTGAGAATGTTCCCGAAAAAGGGTCATCCAATCTCGGAGCATAAACCTTATCATCACCAAACGCAGCAGTAATTATTTTGAGTCATACATGATGAGATAGATTCAGTTTAAGAAGAAGAAGAAGAAGAAACTAATTAACCTGATGGCCATATTTGTCACCGAAAGCAAGACTGATGTGATCCCTTGTGTGTCTCGGTGAATAACAGCTTGTAGCAATGAGTGCTGTGTAGGAACAATTTCCATTGAAATCCTGAAAAGTTAATTAAATAATGCTTGATTAGCTGAAATATATGAGTTCCCTTTTGGTTATATGCTGCTGCAGATTCATAAAGGAGTTACCTTTTGCTGGGTTTCATTGAGATTGAGGAACTCAGGAGGAACTCGTTGATGCTGAGAGGTTAGTGTCTCTGCTTGTGACAAGGCAAAGACGATGAAGAATGTGAGAATTGGAATCAAAACTTTCATTGTATCTTCAATAAGCTCCAGTTACAGAGTGCAGAGAGATAAGAGAGTGATGTCGTTGTAGAGCTGTGTGCAGTAATTTTTATACTTCTTTCATGGAAAAGTTTCGAAAATAGCTGAACTTGATGGGGCTAAATAAATAAATAACAAAAACAAATATGCATTATTCATGCATTTACCAGAAAATATTATTTTATTTCCCCTCGCTTGCCTCATGGCAGGGCCTTTCTTTTCCTCTGTTACTGGTCAATTTTGTTTGCAATAAATGTCAAGGGAAAACGACAACTAATTAATAATACACACACATAAACTACAATAATAATAAGTTTTAGAAGTATAACTAATGAATCCTGCTTCTCTTCAGATCAAAATGTAGAAACCAGGATATGTATGTGATGAAGCAAGACGTGAAGAACAAATTGGCATGGAATAATGCAGAAGAGGCAAAAGTGTATATGATCCCATGGGGTTGGTGAGAGACAAAAGAAAACTAAGGATTTTAGCTTGAACATGATGTTTACATAAGGATTAAGGCTTGGAATTAGTGAAATTGAAGGTTGTCTGGAATTTTTGGTGACAGAGATATCACCTCACCTTCCATATGATTTCATAAAAACAATAGCGAATTCTTCCATACTTTATATTCTGTTTTAAGTTTCTATTCTTCATCTTCTTACAAGCCATATAACCTGTAGCTTTTGAATCCATTATCCTTCTTTTATTCCTGTTCATTTAAGGCTAG